TCAAGAAGATTCGTTGTAAATATAATGAAGAGATATTTGGAAAAGGTGCCCACAATGTAAGGGGAATTCCCTTAGTATAGTTTCTTAAATAACCAATAACCCAAGAAGATTAGATGTAAATATAAAGGAGAGTAAAAGAAGATTTTAACATTATAGGAGGAATACCCTAAACGTAACTTATATATAGAACAAGCTTCCACGTTTCTTAATATAAATCTATTTAATATTTTTTTATGAATTGCAAAGAAAATTTGTGAATTTGTTCAAGTTTTTGCTTCTTCGTGAACATCTTTGCTTCTCAAGACCCTTTTTCTGATTTCTTGAATATAATGCATGAAAATACTCTTGAAAACATGAATTCTACATTTTTATTCTAAAAACTTAAATTTTAAAGTTAAAATATTTGAAAGATTATTGTCAGAGAATTATGTGAACATTTTTTGTCAAAGTTGTTTGAACAATATTTATTTGATTACATAAATTTATTTATTTATTTATTGGATTTCTATTGCTTATGCTAAGGAATATTAATAGTTGGCGGCATACCCTTAACGCTAATCCCTGCCCACCTTGTGCGTGGCTAGGGGCTTGTCCACACGGACCACGCGCTCGGCCACATTGAGATAGGCCTCGTACTCGACGGTGTCGGGCGTGGTATCGTAGTGATAGTGTCCGCCCCAGTTGCTAAAGGAGAAGGAGTGAAAGTGCTGCAGCCGCAAATCGAGATCGTGCTCCTTGGTGACCAGAGTGCCGAGGGCGTTCAGCTGGGCGGGCATGTCGTAGAACTTGAGCCATTCGTTGACCTCCGCGTCTGTGTGGATGGGCGTCTTGCTGAAGTCGCGCATCACGTGCTGATGGGCGGCGCCCTTTTTGATCACGAATATGCCGCCCAGGCCCACCACCCGATCCCCGTAGTGCTCCTCCAGGCCCTTGCGTATGCACTCAATAAAGTTCAGCTCGCCCTTGCGTTGCTTGGCGCTGATCTTGAGCACGGGTCCCGCCTCGCCGCGGCTCAGATATAGATTCAAGAGCAGGGCACAGCGCGCCTCCGTGCTGGGTATCCGCTCCAGGACGCACTCCTCCTGTTCGCCGCGCACCGTCGCCGTGTAGCTGCCGTTGGTCAGCTCGTCCGATGCGCTCACCGACAGATTGTAGATGCCCTCGCAGTTGGAGCTGCGTATGGGATAGGGTCCGGCGCCGGCGCCTACGGCAAATATCTTGCCGGCACCCTGTATTCTCCGCGCGATCTCCTTGATGTTATACAGCTTGTCGCGCTGCACCAGCGGCAACAAATGCGGCGGTCCGCCCACCTCCAGCAGCGTCGCCCTACCGCCCAGTCCCGACTCCACCAGGCCGTATTGCGGCGCCTTCAGATCAGGGCAGTCGCCCACCTGCACGCTGGCTGTTGCAAAGTTTTTACGCAGCGCACCCTGTATAACTGGGAGAGCGAGAGAGGGAGAGAGCGAATGTATACAATGCAAAAGCTTTATCTCGCCCTCAATCAAGACAACGCCAAAAGCTGCGCCAAAGCTCTCCAGCTGCTAGTCACATTTCTTGATGTGCTGAGAATGAACAAAACCAAAAACTGTTTTCGTTGCCAAGCCGAAGATTGAATGCCCTTTGGCAAGATTTTCATGGAAGCTATGCGATGTAGAAGTATATGAGATATATCGAAATTCAGCCGATCTATCAATTTTTGATATAGTTTATGAAATTCTTTTAAAATGGGTAGCTATTGTTCTGCTAGAAACTTTAGGATATGGCAGCTCCCATATAGCCAAGGGATATGGAAGTATATGATATATAAACAGCCGATCTATCAATTGGGAATATTTTGATATAGTTGTTGAAGTTTTTTCCTTAATAATGGAATGCTATTAACTGCTAAGGATTTTGTATTTTTGTTATAAAAATTCTATTCTCTACCCATTGTTTATATGTGAGCTATATGATATAAATATTCCGATGCTTCACAGATTCATAAGGTATATATAAAGAGTATATAACGTATGAAAGTTCCTATAAACAAGCTATATTATATGAATATAAAATGTACTTTAAATTTAAAATTGGTGGGTTTCATCAAAATATTTAGATTTCCTTTTTTTCTCTAAGTTCTCAAGACAATCTTTTGATATAGTAATCCGATTCGACAAATAAAAAGAAGCTCATCTATGCCTAGTTGCATCAAGACAGCAACTCGACTTTGATACTGATCAAGGGTATATGTTATATGCTTTATAGATAGTCTGCTTCTATGTGTTACATAGCTTATGGAAATTTCCATATGCCCTACTTAAAAGCATAAGAACACGCCAAGAGAACGGCCTCAAAAAAAAAAAAAAAAAAAAAAACCGGCTATGGAAAGTTCGGCACAGTTTGTGAAGGTCATTTGCTCTGTTGCTGCTGCTGCTGATTCTACTGCTACTGCTACGGCTACTGCAACTCGTTCATTTTACTGCTGCAGTAGCTCCGCTTACCCTGCTGCAGTTCCTCCAGCGTTGGCACATGCAGCGGCTTCTCCTCGAAGACCAACTGCGCTGTATTTAGCTGGCTTTGGCTCTGGCTCTGGCTCATGTTTCTTTCGTCTTTCAATTACTGAAGCCCTGAAGCTACGACTCGATCGACGTCTGTTCCGAACGCGACTGTGAAGCGAATCCGTCGCGCAGTCCGCATTTGGGCTGGCTTGTCCTATAGTTAACATTGCCCGCTCGCGTACAGGGTGACCCCCGGCTGGGCGATAAGATATATGCGGTTTTGATGATATTCCAGTTTTTCCGCAACAAAAAAAAACAAACATGTTTAATTAGCGCCTAAATTCATTTTCACTAAAAGCAACGCCTTGAGTACATGTCTTGTCTCCTAGATTTATGGTATCTTTGGCAAGAATTTTGCACTCATTTGTTGCTTAGCAACTTTTAAACTGAATACGACTTTCTTTTTTCAAGAACTGTTGTTCCGAAACATCAAAAAACAAAAATATTGTTTTAAGAATAATTGAAAATCGTAATATATCTATGCTTTTATGAAATCCCTCAGTTGTGTTCCACTCCCAATCCCGAACTTAAAAGAACATTTCTGCTTCTCTATTTGGTTCTCGGAAGTTTCGAACTATAAAGAAGATTTCGGCTTCACTTTCTGAGTTCTCGAGAGTTTAACATGTTTCAACATACTTTTGTCTTATCTTAAGATTTTTTGTATATTTGCTTAAAAAATTTCTCATTTTCAGCTGTTTTTTCTTGATAGAAATTTAGCGCTTACTTATTTCGAGCTCATTTAAACTAAATTTTAGTCCAACATGCATATTTAATTATTGTTTATTTTTTTTATTTTTCCTACGCAAGTTGTTTATTTTTTTAGAGCTTTCAACATACCCTACTAAAAATTTTCCATGCGCCTGATAACTTTCCCCTTCTTTACACTTTGTCACTTCGAAAAAAAAAGAAACTGGTTGCTCTTTAAAGTTGTGTCCGAAATGTTTTGCCGCAACTCCCGTCTTCGATCTCTAGTCTTCCCTCACCCATCTGTTGGCTTCTGCATTCTAATTTACATATTCGAAAGACTTTGTGTGTAGATCTATAAAATAAGATCTAAAGATTATGTGCGACTAATGTATATTTGCCATTATGCGGCATTTCGTATAGAAATTGCTCGATTTCTTAATGGAATACAGTTAGCAAAGAATGTTCCGTGATAAACTCTTCATTAATGAGTATTTACTGTACTAGACCATTCAGCAGGCGCCGCTCTGTATTTAGGTTCAGTTAACTTGACCAAATTTAAAGGTTTGGAACAGCTTCAGTTCCAGTTTTTGTTCGTTGATTAAGAAATCATCCGTTTGAAGTAAAAGTTGAGTGGGGAAAAAATTAAAGATTCTGGAAACTTTTTATATGGCTCGAAAATTAAGATTTTCTTTGAACAACTTTCCCGCTTTTCTTCTTTATCTCGAGCAAGGTCAGCAATTATGAGCATTACTATTAACCTGCCATATCGACATAGGTAGGTTATTCAAACTTCGTCTAGCTGTCGCTCTTGCTTACACTGACAACAACTGCTTGTCCGTTTTGCAGAGCTTTCACTGTACACTGATAAGCCCTCTGTGCACACACTTTCGAGGCTTACCTCCCATCTGAGATAGTGCAGCCGCAGATAGGGACCTGTAGAGTCATTTAGCGGTCAGGTTTGCCACCATTCGATGATAAGGTTCCCATTGAGAGCCTCTGTGTAGAGCGGACAAATTTGTGCGTAGTGTCAATTTGATGAATTGTTGACCTGAGCTGCGGATTGAACTGCTTCTGGCAGATATCAGCTGCCTACTTAATAATTCTATGCCCCTGTTAGCTGGGCAGTCTGGCGATGACAGTCAATACACTCGGAAAAAAACTTAGTTCGAACTCAAATTCCAAAAACTTGGATTAAGTGAGAAATACTTATTGCAAGAGTTTTAATATAATATATGGAATAATGATAAAATTAAATAAAAAATATTGTATTTTGGGAATAAGTAAAAGAAATTTGATCATAAAATAGGAAATTTTAACACAAATGCTGCCTTTCAAGAACTTTTGCATTTGACTTGAGTAAAATAAGACTAGAGTATACCCTGAACTAGCATTCATAAACAAAAAAGCGTCAATTCAAATTAAAAATAATTTCCCTCAGCCGGCATCGAACCTGCTATCTTCAATCAATCGAACTGCTTGCCATCGCCTCAAAGCTCACCGCCACAAACACACAGATAGACCCATGCGAAAAACAACTGATCCACGCACACACACACACACACAGACAGTAGGAGAGCGGAGAGAGAGAGAGAGAGAGAGAGTGCATAGCATACAAAGCAATCGCAATTGCAAATATATTTATATATAGTGAATTAAATATGAATGAATGTGTGCAAATTTAATTTTATCAATGATATCATCCTCGGAAATCTAATCGTTTTGATAGGTGTGGTTTCTATTTTGTTATAAATGTATATATTTTTCCATATATAAGAAAGTGCGTCAGTCTTTTGCTTAGTCTCGATCATGAAGGCTTTCATTGTTTTGGTTGCTCTGGCTTTTGCCGCCCTCACTCTCGGTCGCACCATGAGCCGGTGCACCTTGGCCCGCGAGATGTTCAAATTGGGCGTTCCTCGTAACCAGCTGGACAAGTGGACCTGCATTGCCGAGCGCGAGAGCAACTACCGCACCGGCGTGGTTGGTCCAAAGAACACGAATGGTTCCCACGACTACGGCATCTTCCAGATCAACGACTTGTACTGGTGCGAGCCCTCCCACGGTCAGTCCTACGGTCGCTCCAGCAACGGTTGCGAAATCGACTGCGACGACCTCTTGAGTGACAGCATTGTCAACGACGTCCGTTGTGCCCAGCTTATCCAGCGCATGCAGGGCTGGTGCGCCTGGACCACCTGGCACTACTGTAACGGTGATCTGCCCTCCATCGACGACTGCTTCTAAACTGGATATTGACTTTTTATTAATAAAAACGGTCAGATTATGAGAAGCCAACAATGGGTATAATCACATACTCGCCTTAATAAATGCAAGTTATTTTCCTCTGGATATAGTGCCTATTGATTTTTTTATTTATGGGCAAATGTTGGCGATAGCCATAAAATGAAAGAAACTTCATCTGTATTTAGTATTCTAGCAGCTACACGTCAAATTTGTTGACTCTAGTTGGTGAATGCTAGTGTTGGAGCTTCGAAATCAAAATAACAAGTTCTTTAGTTGAGAATTTTTAACTCAATAATCTTGAGCTTGTCTATATTAATATTTGAAATATAGAAAATTGGGAATAAAAAAGTATTTTATAAAGATATCTAGATTTTCGAAAAAGTTCTTGATATATGTCTGTTCCGTCTTACAAAACCACTTTTGCACTTAATTCAAGTGAAATATGCTGATGCAATTTTCTCAGCGTGTACGCTGCACGCATCTAATCATGCTGTCCATGTCCATGCTTATGTCCAAGCAGATTACAGACCAAACTGGTCCGCGTCCACGCAAGTCCATCAGTATCGCAAACAGATAGTTGATCATAATTAGCAAGCGGCAGCTCCTCAATCCTATTGAGAACAGATCGCCAAGGAGCTGCCATTATGGCCATCTATGTGCTGCTGGCTTCTTGTTCTTGGTCCGAAGTTGACCTCAATTGGCGTCTTTGGATGAGATGTCGAGAACTCGCCGCTGACCCAATTCCAACGCCCATTCGCAGATGTTGGTCGACTCACTTCACTTTTGCGCATTTAGCTGGTAACTGGTTAGGAACTAGGTCACACACACGCACACACAAATCTTTGTAGACGAATCTTTGCCTGGTTATTAACATTTCATGTCCCCGTCACATTAGGCAATGTTTGACTGGCGCCAATTGTGATGGGCAATCGGATCGCAGCGGGAGCTGGCGGCAGCAGCGCGGAGGCCAACTCTCAGTTTAATACGCGGCGGCGTTATCAGCAGCACAAGCGCGAATATTGTCTGCAGGATGAGTATCGCTCTAAGACCCTGCCGGCGCGTTATCCACAAGAGAAGCCAGACGATAGCCGGCAGCCGTTAGGCTCCAGCAGCTATCTGGGCTCTGGCCAGGCCAATGGAACGTCCAACGGCGGCGAGACATCACGCATGCTTTTTTTGCTCTATCTAATCCATCGCACCTGGAACGTGGTCATGGACACCATGGACACACGCACCAAGAGGTAGTCACTTCCATCTCCTCCATTTGGCTTGTTTAATCCATTTTCCTTTATTTCCATGCAGTCGCCCGGCGCCACAGAAAGTCACGCCCGTGCCGGCGCCGCGTAGACAGACGCAGCCGGATGAGGAGTGCTCCATTGGCATCACAGACATGGACGCCTCCTCCTATTGCTCCCAGTACTCCTGCTGCAGCTGCAGCTATTGCTATGAGGATGCCTTGGAAAAGCGCACCAACGCCTGCAGCTCCAATGCGGATGATTATTCGCTGGACTCCATTTACGAACCCGGCAAATCTATGTGTTACAGGTGAGCCAAAAGCAAATACACAATTCAAAATTGACGGCAGCTCAGCTGTCGAAGCAAGCAGCTTTTGTCAGCCAAGCAGCACAAATAAGTGTTGCATAACTTCTGGCAGGCATAGCGCACTGCTTTCCAACGCACACTGCTTGCCAAATTACACTGCTTGGCCGGTTGGTTTTAAACAAAATGCGGTAGGAGAAAAGGAAACTTTTTTGAAAAACTCATTTATTAGCGAATATTGTTGTCCAGGTAAATATCTTAGAAGCAGTCATCGATGGAGGGCAGATAGCCGTTACAGTAGTGCCAGGTGGACCAGGCGGACCAGCCCTGCTGGCTGAGCACCTTCTGGGCGCAACGGACGTCGTTGGTGATGTCATCGGTCAACAGGTCGTTGCAGCTCAAGGCGCACTCGTTGTAGGAGAAGCGACCGTTGGGAGGCTGGCACCAGTACAAGTCATTGATCTGGAAGATGCCGTAGTCGTTGGAGCCGTCCGAGTTCTCAGGGCCCACCACGCCGGTGCGGTAGTTGCTCTCGTGCTCGGCAATGCACGTCCACTTGTTCAGCTGGTCACGAGGAACGCCCAAGTCGGACATCTCGCGGGCCAGGGAGCAACGGTCCATGGTGCGACCGAGAGCGGGGGCGGCAAAAGCCAGAGCAACCAAAACAATGAAGCCTTCATGATTAAACCTCAGAAAACTGATGTCCCACTACCAAAACGCTTTCGCTTTTATAGGAAACATATAATCTCTAAGGCGCACTTATCTAGAGTACTTTGCGTATTTTAGAATAGGGAAATTGGTTTGAATTCAAAATGGTATTTCCTGTTTGTACGTGATAATACGAGTGCAGTGCAATGAAAAAAAAAACAAGAACCTATTTATCATATAATATTATTTAATATTGAAGTAATATTGATAGCTCGGTAAGGAAACTAAACAGCTGCTGGGCAAGCAGAATATAAGTAATTTAGGAACCTCTTTTAAGGAAAGGCTTCAGTCTTTTCCTATTTACAAAACTTACTTAACAACAAATTCAAAAGTCCTTTTCAATTATTCCCAGTTTCAAAGATAAGCCCCATCGATTATCTAGTTAAGATTGACATTAAAAAGCTGCCTGTCAATAACAAAAAAGATATGTGACAAAACTATGTATAATAATGCGCACTTCAGATAGCAACAACTGGGATAAGATAATTTCAGCCTATAAAAGGGAAAGCGTTTCAGCAGTTGGACATCAGTCTACTGAGGTTTAATCATGAAGGCTTTCATTGTTTTGGTTGCTTTGGCTTTTGCCGCCCCCGCTCTGGGTCGCACCATGGACCGTTGCTCCCTGGCCCGCGAGATGTCCGACTTGGGCGTTCCTCGTGACCAGCTGAACAAGTGGACGTGCATTGCCGAGCACGAGAGCTCCTACCGCACCGGCGTGGTTGGCCCCGAGAACTACAACGGCTCCAACGACTACGGCATCTTCCAGATCAACGACTACTACTGGTGCCAGCCTGCCAATGGTCGCTTCTCGTACAACGAGTGCGCCTTGAGCTGCAACGCCCTGTTGACCGACGACATCACCCACTCCGTCCGCTGCGCCCAGAAGGTGCTCAGCCAGCAGGGCTGGTCCGCCTGGTCCACCTGGCACTACTGTGACGGTGCTCTGCCCTCCATCGATGACTGCTTCTAAACTGGATATTGATTTTTCTTTTAAATAAAAACGTGAAAATTATGAAAAGCTAAAAATCGAGTTCTTCAAACTTCGCTTAAGTCGCATAATTGGCAGCTCTTATACTCGATCAAGCAGTGTCTTATACGCGCTAAGCGAAGTGGGAGAGCGCGTCTTAAACGAGTTAAGAAAGTGGAAGAGGGAGAGAGAGCGCGAAAGAGAGCCGAACTAACTGTCAACGCGTGTTGAAGCCAAGTTTACGGTTGCCCGGCCTCGGCTCTGGCACAGTCAGTGCGTGACTTTTCAGCGAAACAGACGTGCGAATCGCAGCGTGTCTTGACTTAATCGAGATAGACTCTGCTTTAGCTTGGCTAAAACGAACGATGGCTTTGCTAGCCGTGTTTAAGGTCTAACAAAGTGCAATCGTCAAATGCAGAGCAAAGAACTAGCAGCTTCAAGGCGAAGGTTCTACTGTTAACATATTTGACAACACCGGCCACTCTTAGAGTTTGGGGTAACACTGGCTGCTCCTGCTTCACAATTTCCATACCTTCACCTTAGCCACTGTTACGTGTCGCAGACGCGATTACGCGATAAAAACATATAGTTATTTATATACAGACATATATATAAAGTCGTGCGGTGCGTTCTCGAGAGAAACAAGTTTTTTTTTATTGGTTAGAAAAGTGGCCTCTCCTGCTCGCACCCGCTGCCTCTTCGGGGCAGCTAACAGCATCGCGAGCGCGCGCTGATTGCATTCTAACGGTAAAACGAGTACGACTCTGACTGGCCCGGCCCGGTGCTGGCCTCTGCAACTGGCCTATTGCAGCATCCACAACAACAACAACAACAACAACAATTGCAACCGTAACTTTGCGCGTTCGCTTTGTGCTAATCTTCTCAATTTATGTTTCTTGTTCTTCGATGACGCTGCAAAGTGCAAGAAAGCCAACTTTTACAAGCTCAAAATAAATATATGAAAAGTGTCTGCGCGCGTATGTGTGTGCGTGTGTGTGTGTGTAGACATTTTGAGAACATTCTGCATTGGCCCAATTCCAAATCGTGTCATTTCGCTCGCATATATGCTCCAAATTGGATTTCGTTTTGGCCTAGAAGTGTGAACGGATTAAAAGCAAACGAGGTAAGTCACATCACCGCCTCCCCCTCCCACGTCCTCCCCTACACTAGAACGGTCAACTCTCGCGCTGGTTTACAGTCTGACGACCCATACAGTTAGTTGCCCATGACATGCCATTGTTCTCTGCCTCCCCCCCACCAACTCTCATGTGGCTACGCCCACCAGCTAATCTACATCTTACTACATACACACACACACACACACACATACATATGTATGAGCACATATGCTAATAGGGCTGAACTTTCTTTCAGCCAAATATAAATACGACTACAAATACATTCAGGGCTTAGTCAAAGCCTCTTGAGCTGCGCTTATGTGTGGGCAGCATTGGCATTGAACTGCCAGTGCTGCCAGTTTTTTATTTTTTACTATTTATTTTTTTGGCTTGATAGAACCACTTGAAGACAACAAGTGCTCGTTAGGCTGGCAGTCGATGCTATAAAAATATTGTGACCACATAAATTGTTGTGTGTGCGTTGAAGTAAAAATCAAAACAAGAAAGAGGGAAATGCCCGACTTGAATATACCCTGTAAGCTATTCTGAATTGTTTGAACCACATTAAGTCCAATTATTAGTTAATAGATATCATCAAGAATAAATAATGGGCTATTCCTCCAAATAAGTACACTGATATACCCTGTAACCTGCTCTGAACGTTGTAGTATGCATTTATATAAACTTGTACATGTTTTTCTTAGTCTTAAAAATTAACTAAATCTGCATATAATAGGACTATATATTTGTAGTATACAGACGGACAAACAGAA